GCTGTAGCAGCCCTCTGGGCATAGTGCCGCTCACAACTTCCGGTCATTAATCCTCATTCTCTCTCTTCCCCACCCTACCCTCGTTCACCCTGCAGGCAGCAAAAGAGACCTTGGCCAAAGCTGTGCTGGCGGAGCTGCCCCAACAAGTTGTGCAGTATTTCAAGCATAAAAACCTGCCCCCCACCAACTCGGAGCCCGCCTGAGCTCCAGTGCCCAGCAGCAGCATGTCGGCTGAGCCTCCCGCCCTCCCCCAGGAACATGCACGCTCACCCTGCTTCCTTGTGGGTGGCCTTTTTTTACCGATCCACATTTTTATTTTTTACAACCGGACCTCCACCCCCAACTTCCTTCAGCCCAGCTGGGCTTCCTTTGTTGGAGTCAACTGTTGATGCTTCCAGGCCAAACTGGCTTCCTCTCCTCCTCTCCCTACCTTTGCCATTCTTAAGTATTGAATGTACTTTGTATAATTTTAGTGGAATTATTATTGTTATTGAGAATAAAATTTTTACAATCATAACTGGCTTTTTCCAAGTAACTATATGCAGACTCTGATGAAAGGAACGTGTCCTTGGTGCATACTTCGTGTCGTAGCCTGCACCTAATTAATTCCTGCTGTCTTTTTTAATACTGTGACTGTGTTCTATTTGTGATATACTCAGGGTAATAAACAAGTTTCAGACATCCCTGCGTCAGCTCCTTCCTCAGCAGGGACCTGACGGGCTCACTGATCTGAGAAAGGAAATGGAAGATGAAAATCCACCCTGCAAGTCTGCTAAGTTGGTGTAGTCACCTGTGCATGGGGACATGCATTCCAGATGATAAGCTGTTAAATCGCTGCCAGTTAACAGTGATAACCTGTTAAACTGGCACAGAACCTGGCACATTGTACAAACTCAATAAATATTTGTGGAGGAATAGAATGAATGTGCAGGCCCACACCAGTTTCTGGTTGGTTGCACTCAGGTGCAGCCAATACCACATATCCCTACCCCACAACTGGACAGCAGTCCCAGTCACCCATCTGCTCCTCCTTGGGTCTCCCGGGTGTTTGGGTCGGCCACTGGAGGTCTGTGAAAGCCTCTCTGGCTTCAGGACCCCAAATGGGGCTGCTTCTCACCCTGTTGTTTCTTCTGCATCCCCCTCTCTAGGCTCAGGCCCAGTTTTATGAAACCAGTCAGAGGACCCCTCTCTGAAAGTTCAGCCCCCGTCCTAGGTCCCTCCTTTATTCCACATACATCTTCTCTTTTAGCCACTTGACTCCCGCTTGGAGCTCCAGGTAGCCCCTTGGACATGGGCTTCCATGTAATCAGTAACAGCTAACCCTCCTGTTAAGCACTGATTCCAGTTCCATGTTCAGTGTTTTGCAGGCACTTTTTCTTTTTTGAGACAGGGTCTCACTCTGTCCCACCCAGGCTGGAGTGCAGTGGTGTGATCTCGGCTCACTGCAGCTTCAACCTTGTGGGCTCAAGCAGTGCTCCCACGTCAGCCTCCCGAGTAGCTGGAACACAGGCATGCACCACCACGCCCAGCTAACTTTTGTAGACATGGAGTTTCACCATGTTGCCCAGGCTGCAAGCACTATCTTGGTGAACCCTTAAGATAGCTCCTGACAGTGACCATTTCAGAGATGAGGAGACAAGCAGAGAAGCAAATCAAGTCTACTAGAGGCAGAGCCAGGCCTCATCCCCAAGTCTGGCTGCCTCATGGCCCTCACTTGCTCCACTGCACTGAATGCCTTCCCTTGGCTCTAGATGGGGTTCTTCTGCTCAAGCTGCTAATGAATTAGTCACTCTGTGCCACTGACATTGGGAAGTCACTTGTCCCCATCTACTCTTCTGCTCAGTAATTCTTACTGGGGCCTGCTAGGATTGGGTACCACAGCAGGTAGATTCCCATCTCTTAGTGCCTGGTGAGCTCCAGCCAGAGTTTTTCTGGCAGGAGCGAGTAAGGGATACCTTCATCCTAAGCTTCTGGTGCCCCTGCCGATTCTGTGGACACCAAGAATCAGCTGAAGGATCTGTTAGGGACACCTCTCTCAAGAGGGCCGCAGGATTGCACAGAGCCCTGATTTGCAGACTGTCCTTCGGAAAACCACACTGCACTGGCCCCCAGGCTGGCAACATGGGTGGAATCCCACCCCTCCCTTACACCTTCCCATGGGAGCGGCTTACAAGCTTGGTGAAACTAGGGAGACTGCCATCCACTGGGCCACATGAGACCCGGCCTTGCAGTGGGGGTGTGTCCCACATGCTCCCACTCTCAGGTCACTTCCTCAGGTGTGGTGGCTGTAGTCCCCACATCCAGGCTTCACATGGGGGCAGATCCAGCCATCTCTGCTCTCTGTCTGCCCCTTCTCTGCCTAACAGTGGGTGGGTAAGTCAAGCAGGCCCTTTACTCCTGGCTGGCTTCAGTTCACAAACTTGTCTAACAGTTTATCTAAACTCTTGACAAGGCCAACCAAATCACTTTTTATTTTTTTATTTTTGAGACAGAGTCTCACTCTGTCACCCAGGCTGGAGTGCAGTGGCACAATCTCAGCTCACTGCAGCCTCTGCCTCCTGGGTTCAAGTGATTCTCCTGCCTCAGCCTCCCAAGTAGTTGGGACTACAGGCGCACACCACCTTGCCCAACTAATTTTTGTATTTTTAGTAGAGATGTAGTTTCACCATGTTTGTCAGGCTGTTCTCGAACTCCTGACCTCAAGTGATCCACCTGCCTCCCAAAGTGCTAGGATTACAGACATGAGCCACGGCGCCTGGCCCCAAATCACTTTTGTAAAATTCCAAGCTTTGGTGCTGCTACTTGGTTCCTGCACATGGATGGGAGGCTGAAAGGTGAACTTGGAAACTGAGCCAGAAAGACTCCTTTACCCTTGAATCCCCTCCATGGAGGCCTGGGCACTGGCATTTGTTTAGAAGTTTCACTGAAACCAAAGAAAGCTAGACTTAAAAGTTCAAATGAAAATTCTGGTTCTGTCACTTAGCTATGCAACCTCAGACAAGCCATTGAGCCCCTAGGAATTCTGATTTCCTGTAAAATATAGAGAAGGGCTGCTTTACAGGACTTTTTTTCCCCCAGAATGAAAGACACTACAGTCCACAAAAATAACGCACAAATGCCCCAAACACCCTGGCACATACATAACAAGCTCTCAGTATACACTGAATGAAAGAAACCAACACAAGCAATGATGTGCATGACTATTACTAAAATAGTAATGGAAGACCAGCTTGCAGTATAAAGCACAGGTGAATGGCTGTCCCTCAGGGTTTTTCTGCCTCTCCCCTCTGCAAAGCTCTGATGCTGGGGCCATGTTACCACCGTGAGGCTCCCTCTCTCTCCGAACCGCTGCTCCAGCAGGTAAGGGAGCAAAATGTCAGCCCTTGCCAGTGTCACTAAAGCACAAATGTGTGACTGGTTTCTGTGTTCAATCTGTAACTACAAAAGCATTGCCACGATCCTAGCCTCCCACTGAGCAGAACTTGCATTCCATCCTGCGACGCGTTAAGTGGGCCGGGCATGCCAGAAAACCAAGAAAATACCCAAGTCCAAATAATCTGCACCACCATGGAGCTGTTTTTCTGGAAGGGCCGAAGATGACAGCTGAGCCATATACCCACGGCTAGGACAACTGCGCCAAGGAACCGGGTGTGCCTAAGCAATTAACATTTAGCCAAAAGGGAAGCATACAGCAAAAGCTGGTGGTTGGAGCTTCGACGACCAGATCTGACCCTTCGCCCATGCCAGTGTTCTAGCTGCAACTGAGGAATGCCAGTGGAATGGATAAACCTGCATAAATCACCACTAATGGAAGCTCTGGCTACACCACCCAGAAACAAGGGAGGACTGATGGTAACAGCACTGAGGGTGGTCACCAGTTACTAAACACTGTGTGTCAGATACCGCACACCTAACACCTAATCTAGGTTATCTCTAACTCCCTAGGAAGTTAGTGGTGTTATTCCTATTTACCAAGGAGGAAAGTGAGGTCCAGAGAGGTCACACTAATCTTCCCCAGTGACACAGCTAGTCACAGCTGGCTCCTAACTCATAACCACTATGGTGGAACTAGGCTGAGTTCCCAGAGAGGAGCAGCAGAAACAGCGGGGAAGGGCTTAGGCAAATGAAGCTTCTCTCTTGGGTGGGAAGGAGGTGGCCAGACAGGAAGAACTCAGGAGCTAGAGTGAAAGAAATGAGGATGCCTGGCACTAAGTCACCCGACTTAGGTGCTCCTGACTCCCAGTATAGAATGATCCTGAAAAAAGCTGAAGCCACCCCCCACCCCACCCCTCTGAATTTGGGGAGCCAGCTCTCAGTCTCTTGCATCCTTAGATTCAGGGAAGACATACACAAGTAGGTAGCCAGCCACCTTTTTGGGTCTAGTCACATCAGCTTCCCTGGTTTTTACAGATGGAAAAATAGATGCTTTGAATATCACACTCACTTTCTCCACCCAGTTAGGTGACACAAGCTAGATCAAATAGAGGGGGCAGTAGGATTCCTATTAGCTTTCTCCCTCACATGGTTACAGAATTATAAGAATCCAACCACTCAGGACAAAGTAAGCGAGCTTAAAGAAACCCATGCCAAACTTCGTTTTTGTACCATAATTACCCAATTATAAAATCCCAATTATTAAGGCAGGAGTACTACACTTTACGGTTTAAAGCAGTGTTCTTTCCAGCCCTGTTTATTCTATTCTCCTTTGGGTTTGAACTTCAAGTCTACACTAGATACTTTCCAAGGCTGCTTCCTCTGTTGGTCAGATCAGATGCTGCTTTGTTAGCTGTGGTTTCTACAGAAGCTCTGTTTCAGTTCCAGAGCTCTGTGCTAATGGGTACAATGGAATATGATGCAACCATCACCAGTGATTCTCAGTCTCTCCTGAGACACCAGAAGATAAGTCACAGTCTGGAGTCTCACTCAACCTTCTCCACACAATCTAGCTGAGAGACACGGGGAGCGTTGGAAGCATAATATTCAGTAGAGGAAAAACAAGATCTTGTTCTCTGACAGGTTTATTAGCTTTCATGTTAATGTATGTTTTTAAACCCTGCAACCTTTTGTCGACTTCTTTCCACATCAAGAGGCCATGAGGTACAGTAATGTGGCTTGACTCAAGCCACACAAAAATGGTGACTTGATGCCCTACCCTGCCTCCTGTAACAATGTGAGGCTGTTTTGGGTACATGCTGTAATAACAACACGACTATCACAGGAACGATGAAGCAGAGAAGCAGAAGGTGCCTACACAGTTTTACCTAAACATCTTGTTTGTTAGGATGGAGCTGACGCGCCCATACTGGCAGTCAGGAACAATTAGCACAGAGTAGTTCTGAAAAGGAGGAAGAATTCACAAAGCATCAGTTATGGGTGCAGAGAAGTCGCCATCTGCCAATGGGCACCGGAGTGTCACTGCACTGGAAGGGGAAAACGAGTGGGCTGGATGAGATCCAGGGGCCTCTCTGCCCACGTTCAAAGTCAGTAGCTGCTCTGCCTGCCGGCACCACAGTGTCAACACATTTTGTGTGTGTCTCACTCAGTCTCACACCCAAGAAAGTAAAAACAATTGACGTAGGAACAAGGGGAATGGATAAAGAACGGTACACGCTTATTCTAAAACAGGAGAGCCTACAGATTGTCATCAAAGCTCATATCTTATCTCTTTCCTAGAGGCCTCTAAACCATCTCCCTCTCCCCCTCCCTCCTCCAGAATCCGAGGGATGAACCCGTTTCCCTTTAGGAGACAAGGTGGAGCAGCACCTCTAGTTTTTGGCTGCTCATGGCCTCAGAGTTGCTGTTTGGAAAGGAAAAAGAGCAGCAGGGGCAGCAAAGAAAAGTACTAGGGCAGCACCTTTAGGTTAGAAATAGATTCCACAGTGAAAAGCACAAGTATAATGTGCATTAAACAGAGAAGGGCCTCAGTAGAACAGTCACAATATGCAAGTGTGTCCCACTCGTTTACAATATCAGGATTCCAGGAGCTGCCAGAAATAAAGTCATCTCATTAACATACCTACCCACAGTTCTGATGTCTGACTGTGAGTAAACAAGGCCTACGTTTGTTTCTCTAAAATTTAGAATCTTAAACTAAATCCTTTATTTCAAAAACAAACATAAAATAATTTCCCAGGCAGAGAAAAGGTCTGAGATGGAAGCTTTCTTGTTAGCAGTCCCTTCCTGCATAAACGGGGTTGGATAAAGAGGGGAGAGAGAATGGCCAAGGGTATGGAAAGCTTTCACAATGCATGCCGAGTGTGAAGTGACACCCCCAGCAGATGGGGTTTATCATCTTTACTTAGTCACACAACATCAAGGACTGGTTAGTTCCAGGAAAGGGCTCCATTTCATCACCTGGGTCAGTTCTCTTCCCCGCATGCTCCACAATGCAGTAGAACCAAACAACACGTTCACCTACAATAGAATGTTTAAATAACACCTGTCCAATAACTGCCCTTACTTCTTTGTGCTGTCAGGAAAAGAAAAAAACAGAAAGCAATAAAACCCAAACCCTTTGGCAAGCCAGCCGGTGCCTATTCTCCTAGGGCATTTTTAGTGGAACTTCAGCTGGGCCTTGCCCTCCTCCCAATATCAGTGAGGAAAGTGGCAGCGGGATAGGTTTGCTCATGTGCACTGCAGTAGAAAGAGAAACCAAACACAATTCGGGCCACAGGTGGATTCTGGCACATTTTTAGATTGGATTGGTTAAAAATGTCATGTTGTGCACAGGATGCAGGCAAAGGAGTTTTTTTTTTGAGACGTAATGCCCGAAGGCAGCATGAGCGGTCCAATCTACCCTTGGGGAGGAGCTCCCTGTGTAAGGACAGAGAAACTAGGGGGCCTCGAGGAAAGTGTTGGTTCGGAAGATGGAGGAGACAATCTTTCCGGTGGCATTGATGGTGCCTTCGCTGTCTGAGCTGGACTCGGAGTCGCTGCTCCCAGAGTAGGCGCCCAGGCCCGGGAGGATGCCGATACAGACTGCAGCAGAGGGGCAGTGGATGGAGGGGCCACTCAGGGAAGTGTTTCCGAGAGACTTGCAGGATGAGGGCTCTGCAATAAAAGGTGAAAGACTGTCATTTCATCACCCTTTTCCAAAGTTGGGGACTGACTTACTATGTGCCAGGCACTGTACCGCGGGCTTTTCCCACAGAGAAGCCTCAGAACAGCACTATGCAGCCAATACTATCATCACCCTAAGAGGTGGGGAAACTGAAGGAGGAAGGGAGGCTCCAGGAGGTGAAAGGACTTCTGAAAGGGGCAGAGCTGAGATTTGAATCAAGGTCTTTTTAACTTCAGAGCCTGACTACACTCTCTTGTCCCCCATCAAATCCGAGCTGGAGAACAAGCTACTCTGGAGTGCAGCCTAGAGTGCTTTGATTTCCCCGTGCTCACACAGCCGTGAGAATCTGAAGACAGATTAAGAGAGACACTGTGAGCAATAATAACAATTCCATTAAGTTCTCAGCATATTACGCCATTCCTTATTTACTGACCAATAAGCCAGCTAGCACAGATACAATTTCAAGGTCAAACATCAGCTACAAAATAACATTCTTTTCTTTTTAAACATTTTAAAAAATCGGGTAGCCCCCTGGACTAGAACAGGCTTAGAAGGACTCACCAGAATAACGTTCTTTATTAAGAAGGGCCGCTTTTCCCAGATAGGAGAGAGGAGCAATTCAGAAACCAATTTAACACAACCTTTGCTTTCCAGTTGTGTTCTTTTACAAATGAGAAAACTGAAGCCTGTCAGGTAACATTTTAAGGCCGTGCAGAATGTCACCTAGGAGCTGGGATTCTTTTTCTTACAGGAAACCCACAGTTACTCTGCCACCTCTATGACAAATATCTCAATCTAGACAATGCAGGACTTGGCTGGGCATGGTGGCTTATGCCTATAATCCCGGCACTTTGGGAGGCTGAGATGGGAGGACCACTTGAGGTCAGGAGTTTAAGAACAGCCTGGGCAACACAGTGAGGCCCTGTCTCTACGAAAAAATGTTTTGAAAAATTAGATGGTGCCAAGCGTGGTGGCTCATGCCTGTAATCCTAGCACTTTGGGAGGCCAAGGTGGGTGGATCACTTGAGGTCAGGAGTTCAAGGCCAGCCTGGCCAACATGGTGAAACCCCATCTCTACTAAAAGTACAAAAAATTAGCTGGGCATGGTGATGTGTGCCTGTAATCCCAGTTACTAGGGAGACTGAGGGAGGATAATAGCTCAAATCCAGGAGGCAGTGGTTGCAGAGAGTTGAGATCATGCCACTGCACTCCAGCCTGGGCAACAGAGCAAGACTCTGCCTCAAAAAAAAAAAGAAATCAGTCGGGTGTAGTTGTGCATGCCTGTGGTCCCAGCTACTTGTGAGGCTAATGCAAGGATTGCTTGAGCCCAGGAGTTCAAGGTTACGGTGAGCTATGATGGCACCACTGTACTCCAGCCTGGGCAACAAAGCAAGACCGTGTCTGAAAAAAAAAAAAGAAAGAAAGAAGAAGAAGAAGGAGAAAGAAAGAAAATGCAAGACTTGAAGACTAAAGAAAAAGTTAAGAACTCTACTCCAGGCCGTCCATTCTTCCCTGAAATGTTTCCGGCCTTATTTAATCACTACAACCTCATGTATAGGCGTTGTTCCCATTTTACTGATGAGGAAAGCCAAATGACTTGGCAAGGTTGCAGGTTGCTTAAGGCAGAAAATGTGAAACTAAACATGAATCAAAAGAGAATATACTAAAACGTTAACCTGAGCTCACTGCAGAGTTAAGGGTTGGAGTTCACACTTTGTTGCCACAGGCTGATAAGCATACTACCTTCTAGGGTTTTGCCTTAGATGTACTAACACCTCATTTGCCCAGACACCTCAAGTAAATGTGAAGAGAATACACAGTTCCAAGTATAGGAAACCAGGAGTAAGCAAACAATACCACTGAGGAGTTAGAAGAGATATCAAACGGTCCGCAAACAAAGTTCAGATCAATGCATTTGCTTGTTTCTGCAAGAAGCTCGAAGAAGGGAAAAGGAAGCTGCCAAAGATAAGCAATGTTAAAACATGGAGATGGAGAAAAGTAAAATGAAAGCCAACAATGGCTACAGAGATAGAGCAAGGCGATAAAAGAGGCAGGAGCAAATACTTGCAATATCACAAAAGCAAATTTCCTTAAAATACTAAGAGTTCTTCCAAATCTGTTAAAAAAAACAACCAACAACCAAATAGAAAAGTGAACAGAAAACATGAACAACTCACAGAAAAAGAAACAGATGAATTTTAAACATAAGGGGATAAACAATATATTAGAAGGGAATGTGTTGGGAACAGCAAACTTCGTATGCTGTTCAGGGGGTACAGAGAAATTTGGCAATGTTCTTTGAACTTAAATGATGTTCATAAAAGAACATTCATTGCAGCACTGTTTACAGTAGCAAAAGAGTACAGACAACCAAAATGTCCATTAGATGACTAGTTAAGTAATGGACTACTATTCAACCACTAAGATGAATAAAGTAGCTGGGCATAATGGCTCATGTCTGTAATCTCAGCACTTCGGGAGACCAAGGCAGAAGGATCACTTGAGCCCCCCAGGAGTTTGAGAACCGCCTGGCCAACACAGGGAAACTCTGTCTCTATAAAAAATTTTAAAAATTAGCCAGGTGTGGTGATGCACACTTGTAGTCCCAGCTACTCAGGAGGCTGAGGTAGGAAGATCACTTGAACTGGGGAAGTTGAGGCTGTAGTGAGCCATGATCACACCACAGAACTCCAAACTGGGTGACAGAGCGAGAACGAAGAAGAAGAAG